TGGACCACCTTGGGCTGCCCGTCCCCGTCCCTGTACTGGACCAGGAAGTGGTCAAACTGTCCCTCGGGGACCGTCCAGGAGAGGCTCAGGGAGTCTGGGGTGGCATCGGTCACGGTCAGCTCCCCCAGGCGCGGCTTTGGGGCAGGCTCGGGGGTGGTGGTGGGGGGCTCTGTCTGCGTTGTGGTCATTGTTTCGCTTCTCTCTGGATCTAGGTCAGGAGAAAAGACACCAGCTGGCTGTGTCTGGCCAGGTCCCTGCTGAGGGACAGGTGTCTGGGATTTCTCTTGGACACATGGGGTCCCCATGGGCCCCTGGCTTGAATGCTGCATCACCAGGGCAGAGCACACAATGGTGGCAAAGCCAGCATGGCCGGTGGGACCCTGCAATTTCTCTGTACAAGCTGCCAAATGCATCTGTTTAGTTTGACGGACACAACACTAACAACAGCCAAGCAGGGGACTTAGTGCAAGGGACACCCTTGTGGGTTTGGGAATCCTACTTAACAGTGTTGTCCTTTATATCCCTGGATTCAGGCCTGGTGTAGTGGCACACACCTGTCATTCCAGCACTAGGGAGGCTAAGGCAGGAGGATTGCCACAAGTTCAAGGCCAGCCTGGGCTAAATGGTGAGTTCAAGGCCAGCCTGAACCACATAGCAAGCGCTTGCCTCAAAAACAAAACAAAACAAAAACTCCCCCTGGTTCAGAATGCTTTTCTGAGCATTTGTTTTGTTTTGTTTTGAGACAATGTGCTACCATGCCCAGGAGTTCCTGCGTATTTTTAGAACCCAATTGTGACTTCACCACCGAGGTAAAGGGAGAAGGGGACTGAGATCCTCCTTCTGGTCGCACAGTTCCCCGGCTCAGGGACCCCTAATCTAGAGCAGAGACCCCACCTACTGAGCCCTTCCCACCTCTGGGAAATGGTGTGCTTTGCTTTCACCCACTTCTCTGGGGTTTTCTTTGGTCTGCAGTGTTTTACTTTGCCCTACAGTTGAATACAAAATCACGAAGTTTCCTGGATCTGCTCTGGCTGGAAAGGGCCATAAGCTGGGGGCAGTGTCAGAGTCTAAGGGTCCTCAGGCCGTCCCAGGAGCTCCGAAGGGAGACGGCTGGCTGACTCGTGATGGGACTGACATGAACTCTCGCCCTGGCTCCCCCCAGTGCTGGTTGGGCTCAGCAGGCACCAGTCTGGGAGCCTGAGGAACACATGTGATTTTCCTACGAAATCCGTAATTATGAGAATTTGCCCTGAGGAGTGTTCAGGATGCGGTGTTCTTTTCTTTCCTTGCCTGTGAGCGCTGCCTCACTGGAGCCACCCTCGAAGGCGGATGTGGTTACTGCTTCACAGAGAGCCATACGCAGGTCAGACAGGCTGAGCTGCACACCCGGGGTGCCCGAGCCCGTGCTCTTTCCCAGCCCGCCGAGGCCCGAACGTGCCCACGAACAAGAGGCTGAGCGGGACACAGAGGCTGGGTGTGAAGACACAAGCGGAACCGTTCTGAGAGCCCAGAAGGCTCTGGGACGGAGGGACTGAATACTGACAGTAAAAGGGGAGCTGTGTCCAGCCAGGCCCAAGGCCCGGTATCCTCCTGGCCACTCACCTGTCACCCCGACAGCAGACACGGGGCCCACGCGCTGGCCGCCGTAGAAGCCGTGCAGGGTCACCTTGTACTTGTGATCGGGCTCCAGCCCCGAGACGGTGACCTCGTCCTTGTGCCCTGGGACCTGGACCACTTTGGGCTGCCCGTCCCCGTCCCTGTACTGGACCAGGAAGTGGTCAAACTGTCCCTCGGGGACCGTCCAGGAGAGGCTCAGGGAGTCGGGGGTGGCGTCGGTCACGGTCAGCTCCCCCAGGCGTGGCTTTGGAAGAGGGACATCAGGAGGTACTTCCACAGGGGCTGGGAAGAGAGACACAGACTCCAGTTCTCTTGGATTCAGGGCAGAAGGTGGGCCGGTGCAGGGCCTAACTTAGGGTCCAAGTCTCATGACCACCAATGCCAGGCTCCTCCAGGCTCCTCCAAGCCCAGGGCCTTCGCCTGACCCTTCTCCCAGTGCCACTCCCGCCCCCGCCCCCTGGGTCTGCACGGATTTCCTATAAGTCTTCAGTCAAATATCATCATCTTTTGGGGGGCTTCCCTGACCACCTTATTTAAAATTCCAACTTCCTCAATTATAAAACATCTTGTTTTTTTTTTTTTTTTTTTGGTACCGGGGATTGAACTCGGGTCCTTCCGCTTGTGAGGCAGGTGGCAGAACCACTGAGCTAAATCCCCGGCCCTATAGAACATCTTGTAAATCATTCAGAGGTAATTCCAGCAACACAATGCAAAACAACTGTGAGACATCAGGAGACTATGGCACTCTGGCTACTTGATGACAGGAAAAAATGTTCAGTTTTTAAAGCATAGTAGTTTAAAAAAAAAAACTCCAAAAATAGTTTTTTAAAAAAAGATATATTTAAATACTTATTCATGAAAGTATAGTGTGTCTGGGATTAGTTTTATTTATTTTTGGTTTTTTGAGACAAGGTCACACTTTGTAGTTCAGTCTGGCCTTGAACTCACTGTGTAGCCCAGGCTGGCTTTGCACTCGTGGTGATCCTCCTGCCTCAGCCTGCTGAGTACTGGGATGGCAGGTGTGCACCACTGTGCCTGACAAGTTTTAAAATACTCCAGTGATATAACCATATAATGGATACTATCTGGCAATAAAAACAATGAAATACTGCTCCAGGCTACCACATGGACAAATCTCAAAATCACTGTGCTCAAAGAGGCCAGACACAAAAGAAGATGAATTGGATGATTCCATTTATATGAAACATCCAGAAAGAGGGAATTTACCAAGACAGAAAGTAGATTATCAGGGGAATAGGGCTGGGGATAGGGATGGATCTAGACTTGTGGCTTCTTTATGGGGAGATAGAAAAGTTTTAAAATTAGATTGTGCTGATGGTTGTATACTAGGTATGTACAGTAAATAAATTTTGCACTAAAATAGGCCAATTTTGGGCCGGGGATTTAGCTCAGTGGTTCCGCTGCCTGCCTCGCAAGCGCAAGGACCTGAGTTTGATCCCCAGTACCAAAATAAATAAATAAATAAAATAAAATAGGCCAATTTTATGGCGCATGGACTACACAGCAATATAGCTTTTAACAGTGAGCACCTCTGGAGGAGGAGGCAGTGGAGCAGGTGGACCAGGGCGAGCCAGGCTGGACAAGATATGACACTTGGAGGAAGGTCATTATTTTTTCTCTGTGTATTCATTTGAATTTTGACAAATTTGTGTTGACGGAATCACTTGATATCTTATGGATCTGGCTGGGGATTTAGCTCAGTGGCGCCCCACCTACCTGGCAAACGCAAGGTCCTTAATGCAATCCCTGGTACCAAAAAAATTTATGGATTCTGTCCCAGTTCCACAAAAATAATTGTCTTTCGTTTCTGGGGTGGCTTGTGTCTAGTTGTCCCCCTACAGCCTTCTGGAGTCTTTTTTGAAGGTAGCTAAATCTGGAACGTGTGATGCTATTACTGAGCGGGTGTGACCACTAAACCACTACATGTGAGTGATTGGCTTTGCACCATCCTAATCCCGGTAATCTGAATAGGATAAAGGGACTGGAAAGACACTGTTAGAGTCTCTTGTTGCTTTTGTCGTCTTCTGTCCCCCTTGTTGGCCCCCTTGTTGCCTTTGCTACCTTGTGTGCACCATGTTGTTTCTCCTCTGCAATGCCTGTTTGCTATCACTGCCTTGGAGCCAGCCGATTATGAACTGAAATCTCTATGAACTGTAAGCCAAATAAACCCTTTCCTCTCTAACTTTGGGTGTCAGGTATTTTGTCTCAGCAACTAGAGAAAAATAACACAGAAATTTGGTGCCAGAAGTGGGGTTGTTGCTGTGACATTACCTGGCCATGTAAGAGCCTTTGGAACTGGCTTCTGGGAAGGGGAAGAGTTAGGAAAGATTTGGAGATGCTGGCTATAGAAGCAGAGCTGGAATGTCTTAGGCTGTTCTGTATGGGGGATTCTTGTCAGAGCTCAGAAGACCAGAAAGCTGGTAAAGACCAGGCTCAGGAGGTTTCTGCTGGGAAGGAGGACTGCATTGGCTGTTGGACTCCAGACCATGTGTGTTATGGCTTAGCAGAAAGTTTGTCTGCATTTTGCTCATGTCTAGAGACTTTGCCTGAGACTGAGATTAATAGTGGCAGACTAATCTCGCAGAAGAAATTTCAAGGCAGTCTAATGTTGAGGGGGTGGCATGGATACTATTGGGGGCTTCTATCTAGATTTATGTTAAGAATCAAGAACACAGAGCCCAGAAGAATGATGTAAAATGTTTTGAATTTGGCCAGAAAAGAAGCCCCAATAAAGCTGTGGACTGCAAAGATAGAGCAGAAGAGATCTAGATTGCTGAGAAGGAACAGAAGAATAGAAAAGATGGCCTGAGGGCATCACAGGAAGCAGCAGAACTCCACCCTTTGCAGCCTCAGAGTTATAAAGGTGAAAGACTTTGCTTTGAGAAAAAAGCCCCAGAGCACCAGGTTCCAGGATGGTGGTGGCCTAGAGAATTTGTTCCTTGGGATTTGGTTCAGTGCATTCAGCAAACAGGCACTTGACGTCTACAGCCAAGAGAGAAGGAAGACTGACTACTGCTCCAGCTGGCAGCAGACGTTGGTATCATCCATATGGTGCTGGTTTTAGGTGCATGCACAATGCAAGAGTTGAAGGTCAGGAAGGCTTTCACTCAGATTTCAGAGGAAGGCCTGGGAGGCAGGCAGTGTGCCCCTGAGAGGGCAGAGTGTGAAGCTGCGTGAAGCCGAAGGTGCAGTGGAGACCCCATAAATTTGGAGAAGCCAAGAGCATGGATCGTCTGAGTAAAGCTGCAAGCAGGGAGCAGAACTGGCACACGAGAGAAGCTGTGGGAGTTACAACCATCTGCAGTGCTGTACAGGCAGAGTCACACAAGCCTTTGGAGTTCACAATTTGCCATATTGTCTTGGATGCTGGAAGTGGAACTGCGTGATTTAATGTTTGCCCTGCTGGATTTTGGACTTGCCTTGGTCCCATTTCTTTGTATCCCCCTATTGTAACTTTTGGAAGGGTAATGTCTATCTTGTGCACTGAATGTTGGAAGTGTTTAACTTTCTTTTCATTTGTACAGGGACTTGCAGCTGAGAGTTTGCCTTGAGTCTCAGAGGAGACTTGGGACCTGGACTTTTCAGCAGTGCTGAAACTGTTAGGCCTTTGGCAACTCTTAGAGGCGGACTCCATGCCTTTCCACACAGGGATGTGCATGAGTCTTTGTGGGGCCAGGGATGGAATGCTGTGGCTTGTGTCTAGATGGCCCCCCAAGGCCTCATGAATCGTTTTCAAAGGTAGCTAAATCTGGAATGTGTGATGCTAAGACAAAGAGGGTGTGATCACTAAACTACTACTAATCCTGGTAGTCTGAATAGGATAAAGGGAGTGGAAAGACACTGTTAAGAGTGTCTTGTACACCTGGTTGGCAAGTACAAGGTCATGAGTTCCATCCCTGGTACCAAGATTAAAAAAAAAGAGAGACTTTTACTGCTTTTGTGGTCTTCCACCACCATGAACTGCTGGCCCCTTTTTGCCTTTGCTACCTTGTGTGCACCACGTTGTTTCTCCTCTGCAATGCCTGTTTGCTGTCCCTGCCTTGGAGCTAGCAAATTATGGACTGAAAACACTATGAAGTGTAAGCTAAATAAACCCTTCCCTCTCTAACTCTGGGTGTCAGGTATTTTGTCTCAGCAATGAGAAAATAACTAACACATGGGGAGAGCAGAGTTACAAACCAGGCAGCAAGTTAGTGCCTTAGAGTTCCAGGGGGCCTGGCACTCACCCTGCCCCCAATCACACCTGTCCTGAGGATGGGAGCAGGCGGGGGGGGGGTGCTTTGGGGTCCTGAGTCACCAGCAGAAGGAACACTGCAGGCCCCACTTCCCGGAAACCCAAGCTAGCTGGCCTTTACCCTCACTCACCTGTCATGGCCATGACGGACACCGGGCCCGTGCGCCCATCCTGGTGCAGCCCGTACAGGTTCAGCTTGTATTTGCGCCCCGCGTCCAGGCCCCGCACGGTGGCCGCCCTCGCCTCGGCCCCCACGCGCAGCACCTGCGGCCGCCCGGCCCCGTCCTTGTACTGGACGGTGAAGGCGTCGAAGCGGCCCTGGGCCACCGTCCAC